TACATAGTGAGATTTCATTTTCATAAGATCCAAGATTCTAGTAATAAAATCTCAATAAATGTTCAATAAGTAACGAAAATTACCAAACAATTGAGTTGACATTTCCACCAACCACATTGAGAGTTAGGTACATGTATTTATTGACACTGGATTTTCTTGCAACAAGGAACTGCGATAGTAATGTTCTCCCGTCTACCTCAAAGACAATTTTAAAAAAAAAGCTAATATATTCGATGAATTTTTAATATTTTTAGAGATAATTATATTGATTTGGAAAAAGAATGAGAGATAACTCTTAAGCTGTGTTTTTCACTACAGAAATAAACGGAAAAGGGAAAATATTTTCAAAACATACCCCGTGACACAAAAATTCCTTTTACAGAAAATATGGACAGTTGTTTCACAAATGCATACCAAAGCTTTTTGTGTTTTACGGGAGATGCGGGAGGGGGGGGGGCAAATGTTTATTGACGAAAAACGACAAAAAAAATGCTTATTTTTTACCAATTTCCAAGAAATTTTCAACTGACACATTATATTTTATTAATTCATTTATGTTTTATTTGTTTGCCTAAAATATAAGAAAGGATATAAGGAGCATTTAATCATATCGAATACTATTTCAAAATATGGTGATGCTTGAAAGTCCGATTTCAAAGGAAAATATTGCCTAACCCCTGTTTCCAGGAGCTGGAATATGGAAAATTTACTGTTTAACGTTGGTATTAAACAATTCATCAACTACCATTGAACTATTCTTTGTTTTAAACAGAGATTTTATGGTCAAATTGCCATTTGTATTGAATTAAATTGTTGCAAAATGTAGACGTGAATCGAGAATTAGCGTGCGTATTTCTTTGTAGCGTTAAGCATTAGCATTTTTTTTTCAGTTCTCATGGTTCAATTTAAAGGAATGTATAATCATGAAATATTTTGCCCTTCATGTTTTCTTTAATCTGTGTGGAGAAAAAATAAGATTCATTCAATATTACTGGACGTAATTTGCAAAAAAAGATGTTTTTCCCTTTTAAATTAAAATAACTTCCAGCTTATCATAGTGAAAAACAGTAATTATTCAATTATCTGAGAATACAAATATATTTTTTAACGAAATTTTGAATCATAGTTAAAATCAATAACGAATTACTCTACTGAGTTATAGTGTATTAGATAAATTAATATTTTAACGTCAATATGACCGACTTTATTACTGAAGACTCCTCGTACATAATGAAACTGTTAGTCTTCTACATGTAACAATGATTTCCCCCCTTATTTATACCGGGGTTTAATTACTTCCAAAAAAGAATTATATAGTCTAATATCCAATGTATAGACTATCTTTCATTTCATAGAATAGGATTTTAACATCTAATAAATCAATAATGACCCGATAGGGAATTTATGACGTATTTATATATGAATCTATATAGATGAGTTAAAATGATAGCATGGAAGTTTTCAAAACTAAATTATGACCGATCGGCAGGAGATGCTCACTCCTCAATGGCACATGATCCCACCTCTGACTTCATAGGGTTCAATGTTTGCTCTGCTCCAGTTTTGTATTGTGTAAGGGACCCTTGAGATTAAATACTCTTCGTTGTCTCCATATGAAGACAATTGCTTTTAAAATAAATTTTAATTACAACCCGATTGCTTTTTATGAAAAATAAAACGTACATAAATCTTAATTCCTTCTTATTTCAAGGCTTTTAAACCATTTTTAAAGATTTTTTTTAATAATGTCAGAAATTAAAACTTATTTGAACCCTTCAGCTTGTTGTATTTAACAGATTTATAGAAAAGTATCCTCTTCACAATTTTAAATCTAAGAAATGTATAGAAACAATGTTGAATTTAAAAGATATCTATGAAGGTGACCAGTTGGTCATTTTGAATCCAAGAGATTTCAGTAATGGTGACCTGTTTATCAGGTGTATCGAAGTTGCACACAAGGTGACGGATTGATCTGAACACTATATAAAAGGGTTTCTTAGTCAGTTGGCCGAATTGCACGTAAAAATTTTTCCTCTGCAAAATAGGTTCGTTGAGTTCTGTTTTGAAATATGAAGGAGTTATTTCTTGTCGTGCTTGTGGGAATAATTGGTATGTATATTTAATATGCTAAAGAAAGGTTCCGTGATATTTATATTTCCACTGTAAGCTTTCTGTCATGTTCAAGAGATTTTTTTATTATTTTAACCATTTTTAACTATTTTAACCATTTTGCCACAGTTATTTTTTAACCGATCATTTAAAACTCCAACACGGTAGAAATATTTCATGATTAGTTATTATACTGTACGTCAGTGTATGTTCTTGATTGTTATTAGTATGTTGTCAACAGTTTATTTTAATAATTGTATAATTCAGAAAAATTGCAATTACTGTTGAATAAAATATTAGATTTATAATGACCAAATAGTTCAAGAATACGATGTTTTCTTTCAGTTACAATACAAACAGGGCCAGCACAATCACTAGATTTAGCTACATGTACGTAGGTAGAATTACCTACGTAGCTTAATTTGTCTACCTCAGGTAGTTTTATTTAGCTATTTCAATGCATCTTCTCAAACTTTTTCTTTTTATTAAAAAGAGACAAAAAATCGCAATTAAATGACTATTAATATTTATATTATGAAGGTTTAAAGAAACAATCCAAAGCATTGATAGTTTATACATTGCTGCGTTTGGACAATTTAGTGCAAAACATGTATAATTCCATTGTTTGGCTTGCCACTAACTGTCCTCTCTATTGCGTGCGGTGAGGCATGACTGAGTATGAATACTTCACATTGTGCTGGATAGTTACGGACCTATTATCATGTTAACCGGAACTGGACTTCTTTGTCATTTCATTCAAGGAGTAACTGTCATACATAGCCCCAAAACTTTCAGAACTTTGTTTGCAATTGCGCAGAAAAAGACATTTCTTCAAGAGTGATTTTTTCTTGAATTGTTTTCAGACGAATTCAAAGTTACAAATGATCACTGCATCAAAATGAGATTTTCTGCACACCTTGAGAAAAATGCTTTTTTATAGAGATAAATTGATTTGGTAGCTAAATAAAGCTACCGCAGGTAGGTAAATCAAGCTAAGAAGGTAAATCAAGCTACGTAGCTAAATCTAGTGATTGTACTGGACCTGACAAATAAATGAAGAATAAAACTTATAAATATACTAGTATGCATTTAATTAAACTTTGAAATTTATGCTGGATCTTTGATACTGTAAGGGAAACGCAATATATCTTGAAAGGTAATTAATTAATAAGTTAATTTATTCAACCACTGTTATGTTAATTAAAGTCGTTGTATTAATCATTCGATGCATAAAATGGCCTTGGAATGACTAAGGAAGAAAACACAATCTACATTTAAAGCCGGAAATTTGTTATAATTAGTTAGGAAATATCAACTTTAAAAATATGAAAGTACTATTCTAAACAAAATGTATTTTAATAAGCTAACAGAGAGAATCTTTTTTCTTCGAAATAATGAATCTTCTCAAATGATTATGTATATCAAATTGTGCCAGCTGTATAGGAAATAAACAAATCAGTATATGAATTAACAAGGCCATTTTTTTATCATGTCATTTTTAAAAAAAAAATCTTTATTTGCTTGTTACTCATGTATTCATATTTCACTGAAACTGTCTTTTTTCTTGTATTTTCAGTTCATCTTATAGCAGGCAAGTAAATAAAATGACTTATTCCAGGGACATAATATCCACATTTTTAATTAGATTTTAAACCTATCGCATATTTATATGTGAAAGAAGCAAAAGAAGAGAACATTATTATAAGGAAAACATAAACAACGAATTGCATTCCAGAACCACAAGAACTGTTTTAGCTTGACCGCAATATGCAAAGAAATACATGATAAAATAAAGAGAAAAGTTAGTTTAGTTAACACATTCAAGGAATGCAAATTTATGCATGTTTATTTCAATTATACTTGACAAACCTATAAATCAGTTCATATATTTTAACATGTTTATAAAAACAGATATTTTTGGATAATTCATTATCTTTCCTTCATATTTCTTATATCTTTTCATAAAAACAAAGAAGTTAACATATCATTGAAAAAAAAAATATCGGAAATATAAAGAAATTTGCATCGTGGTAAACATCGGGAAAAAGTAAGGATAACTTCCATTGATCCATTTCCTTATAATTTAATTTTACTTGTAACACGTCATTTGATTGGATAAAAGATTTTATCCATTTTGTATAACATAACTTGCTTACGTCACAATGAGTTGCGTCAAAAAACGTATTACTCCGCTTAACGTTACTTTTAAAATTTAATCAATGTGAAGCCTTACTCTGGGGGGAAAACTTGTCTCATTGTCTGCACTGAAATTAATGATAAGGAATGAAGCTTATTTCAACTTATATTACACGATATAACAAAACCTGGGGCAGTTCGCGGTTTATAAAGCGTAAACTGCCCCAAGTTATGTTATATCGTATTATATAAGTTGAAATAAGCTTCATTCCTTAAGTAACTCAAAACCTACAAAATTGTAAACATTTCATGATTTAATTTTTCTTCCCTTTTTGTGACAAATCAGTTTTCAAAGGAATTTAAAATCGTAGTTCTTGCAAAATGACTTAGATTATTTAAATGCAATATCAAATACTACCAATGGGATTTTTTAATCCTTGAGAGTCTTTTTAAATAATTCAGTCCATAAACAAAATATAAGTTAATCAAGGCATACCTACATAAAGACCCTTGTTTTATGTATATGTATACATCTGCTTGTTTTAGCATTTCCACCATATTATCCTACCTGGTCACCTAACCCATGGCAACAACAAGGCTACTATAATCCTTGGTTGAATCCACAGATGTACATGATGAGCAAGTTTTATGATGAATTGTACGACTGAGATCGCGGGGAAAAGTATGTATTATAGAAAAAATACACCTTTACTTACTTTAGAATGTATTCTGTAATCACACTATAAGCAAGCAAGTACAAATATATAACAATACAATAAGCAAAGTTCTGCACGGGCTGGCGGGAAGAGAGTCTCTGTTGATCTAATTTTAGAATCGGGAAAGTCCTTAAGTAAGTCGTACGTTAGGTAATTCTTTACAACACTCCTCCCCGTTCCAATTGGAATGTTCTGTATTTGAGTTATTTAAATTTTCAATATTAATTTAATATACAAAATATTACTTTATAACAAAACCTATTGGATACTATAATGGCCAAAAAATTTTTAAAACAATTATACAAACAACAAAAACTGAATTACTGTTAACATGGCCATATAAGAATATAAAATAGCGTATCACATCCAGCGTCGAGAAGCAGAATATGGAACACATAATAACATCCAGCGATGATAAAGTAGAACACAAAAGACATCATCACATCTGGAGCTGTTCGAGAAATTTGATGCAATGGAGACTGAATGTATCACTGTCAGCACACTTTATAGCGGCATGAAGGCATCTTTAAAATAAACATTAGATATCTTCAGCACACTAATAAAGCGGCATGCACTTGGTCACCAGTCTTCTCTGTTTTAACATCCGTAGAGCTTCCGTGCATTCATGACGGTTGTTCTCATCAGCTCTGGGGGGCGCATGTTCAAATGGACGGATAAATAAGCTGCTACTTCTCCCAAATAAGCTGGAGTACTCACGATGGCACCTCCTAAAGGAAAGTAGGGCGCATCGGTCTCCAGGAGCAGCTTATTATGAGGGATAGCCTGTAACCCTTCCAGCTGTTCACGGTCAAAGGCTCGGACGGCAGCTGTCACTCCAAAGTATGTGTTTGGAAATTTCCGCAGCCAAGTCCTCACCACGTCAGCTCTTCCCATGAAGCAGTGTACATGGATTTTCTGTTCTGGGTCACAGATATCCTCCATTAACATGAGGCAACGGCCATGAACATCTGAGGAATAAGTGTCTCCTCTTGGTCCTCTGAGGTGGAGAACAAGGGGCTGCTCGACTTTTGATAACTTCAGAAGCCTAACAAACACTTCTTCTTGTCTCCACCACTGGGAAGGAGCAATGGTTCTGTCCAGGCCGCATTCCCCCAATGCCACTACTTTAGGATGATCTAGGAGTTGTTGCATCTTCATCGTTTTTTCGACGGTGAGGGTATCATAATGCTTGGGATGAACTCCAATAGCCACTTTCCAGGGACCTTGTAAGGTGAAGTTTACCTCTGGATAGGACTTGGGTTCACTATATACAATAATTCCCCCAACTACGTCTACTTTGATGGCTGGCTTATAGGAAACATCACTGGAGAAGCTGTATTGCAGTAATTCCTCTACAGTACGTCCTCCAGACCTCCCCCAGACTGCCCTAAGTGAACGGTCTAGGTGGAAATGGGCATCAAATACCTGAGGCAATGATGTGTTGGCCAGTACTGTAGATTCGTCTTGGTCTGAATCAGCCTCATCTACCAGGATAAATTCCTCCAAGTCTGACGGCAGTTCAGAATCCTAAATCAAAGTCCAGAATCAAAGTCCTAGCACTAACACTTTCTCAATTAATCAACAATATGTTATTGCCATAAATAACAATGACAAATTGTCGACTATAATTTTTCTTGAGTGCAAGTTTATCGTGTGAAAAATGTAAACAATGCAAATTAATTCAAAATATACCGCTTATTTCGTTTTCAGCTGTTGTAGAACCTCTGAAGTAACAAGCAATTTTCACAATATTAAATCGTGAAACCTGCTCAAAATTCTACAGTGACTACGCACGAAATTTGAACTAACTCACAAGTTATCAGTCAACGAGCGTTTAGTTCTGTTACCGGCGACGCCAATATAGAAAAAATACACCTTTACTTACTTTAGAATGTATTCTGTAATCACACTATAAGCAAGCAAGTACAAATATATAACAATACAATAAGCAAAGTTCTGCACGGGCTGGCGGGAAGAGAGTCTCTGTTGATCTAATTTTAGAATCGGGAAAGTCCTTAAGTAAGTCGTACGTTAGGTAATTCTTTACAACAGTATGAAGCTTCAGATGTACTAGAAACATTGTCAGACTTTTGATCAATTTAGAAAAAAAATCACTTTTTCTCAAAAATCAATGATTTTAATACTTTTCTACACTCTCCGTAAGACTCCTTGTAGATGGACGTTTTTTTAAAAAATCTTTTCTGATTCTCATGATTGTCTTTTATTTACATTGCAATTCAAATATAATTTATCAGGTATTAGATATTTGTTTTTATTCATGTTAACTTTCATTGATTATTGATTTATTATCGTTTACATGCTTTAAGAATTTAAAAGATACATAAAATTTTTCTGAAAATAGCATTGTTCCTATCATGATTTAGAGTAAAATATATTTTGTACATACTAAGTGTGAAAATGTCTCCTTTTGTAGGTTTTTAACTGGTACTACTTATCTGTTCATCATTATTGTTCCACAAGTGGTAGCCATGATTTAAAATAAAGAAAGTATCAATGTCACTTTGTTGAAAAAAAAATTAAAAGAAGACTACAATCGATATATATTCCAGTATGAACTTTACCGCTATTGCTTTAATTCCCACATTTCTGCTGTCTTTATTTAAGGGTTGAGAATCTTTTGAAAGATTAGCCTACATGTATATCAGTGACCACTTCGATAAACCAAATAAAGTATTTGATAATTTAATATTTCCATTTCTTATTTTTTTTCTCTGTGATAACTCTTTGAAAGTTAGCGAAGTTGATTTCTGAATAAATCTGCCGGTATGTAAATTAGGCAGGTCGATAGGTTAGGAGACAAGAAGGCCTAATATGCATGCAAAACTTGTGCGCATCCGTCTCTGTGTCTGACTCTAATGAGGCCAAATACATGTAATCATGTAAATCTCGTGCGGCAGCCTTTGTCTTTGATGTCAGTAAGCGAGGACTATTGAAATTGGCATGGGAGTCTTCGTGTAGTTTAAAATCTATATCTAAATTTCTAAAGTCTGAATCTGCAATTTTTTTGCACAATGAAATGGAAATATAGGTTTGATTGATTGATTGATTGATTGTATATTGTTTAACGTCCCTCTCGAGAATTTTTCACTCATATGGAGACGTCACCGTATGCCGGTGAAGGGCTTCAAATTTTGACCTTTACTCGGCACTCAGGGCCATTGAGCAGTGAGGGATCTTTATCGTGCCAACGCCTGCCGCTGACACGGGGCCTCGGTTTTTAAGGTCTCATCCGAAAGACCAGCAACTTTCACTTCAAAGTGCCGAGCGCGTGGCGAAGGAACAGTTACTACCTATTTTATCGACTAGGTCAGTCGCGGCCAAGATACGAACTCACGACCTCCCGATCACGGAGCGAGCGCTCTACCGACTGCGTTACCGTGAACGGTAGAATTATAGGAAACCACTGTCTAGTTAGTAAAGTATGCCAAGGCATCAACAGTAGTTGGAAATATGGGATAATTTATGCATAACGGGCTTCGCCCGTTATTCCAATTATCCTATGCTCCCCACTCTATCGTTGATGCCCTGGCATACTATACTAACTAGACAGTGATTCCTTAAATATCTATTAGTAAAATGTTAGTATTTTTCATTAATGAAGATAATGGCTATGCCTTTATATTAATTACATCTTTTTAAGTTCAGGGTTGTCTAAAAAGAGTCCATTCTCTGTCTGGAAGGTAATTTAATTCTGGCTGCGGAAAAATTTGTTAAATGAGCACTTTCATTTGGTTCAATATAATTATAGCATATTTTGACAAATATGAACGCTCAATCATACATGTATGTCATTTAAAGGTTTTAAAAGTGTTTTTTTTAATTGGGTGATATAAAAGGTCACGGTCTAATAAATCTTAGCAGGTTTGGAAATATCTTGTCAAAGGTTATATACATGTCAAATATGTAAGCTATCATAACTTTAGAGAAATAAATAATATTTTTGAAAAGTAGGACAAACGTAAAGGTTAAAGTCAGGGGGGCAAAATCATAGTGTATTAAGAAATGTCTTGTCACAGATAAAATACCTGTGAAATGTGGACGCCCTATATCTTGTCATCCAAAAGTTATGACCCAAGGTAAAGTTTTTCAAAAGTTTTTAAAAGTCAGTAATTAGAATTGTCTTCTCAACGGCAATTCATACGTTTATAATGGAAGACTTATCTCTTCACATTTAATAATGTTGAACATATTTAAAGCAATGTTTAATTTCTTTTTTTTAAATGTCAATATCCATGAAGTGTAAGGACACAGTATAAAAATCCTAGTAATCATATTTTACAAAGGTCTTGTCACTGGTAATTCACACGTGTAATATAAAAGTCCTATCTCTTCTCATTCAAAACATATGGCCAAGGTTAAAGATTTTGTTACATACAGACATACTGACAGAAATATGACGTTTAATTTACCCCCCGCTTTCTCGTAAGCGGGGCACAAAATAAGTGTAATCTACCTCGAAAATGCATTTTATCGGCTTTGTTTAATTACTGTCAAAAAGTGCCGACTGAGTCTTTATATGATACATGTACCTTGATTATCTACATCTTAATGCCTAAGTTAATTTTTTTCCTGCTTTCAACAGATCAACAGCTGTACACCTTTACAATTTTGCTATACACTTAATAATAATCAGAATGATTACGTGTGACATGCTTCCCCTATTCACCGTCTCTTGGTTTCCTTTATAAAAAGGCAAGTGATGTTGTCACAAGACTTCATTGAAAGGCCAACCATCTAGGTTTGAGCTAACTGAAGTCGAATGGGATGCCTTCGGAACACTAGCTAGGTTAACATGCCATCTTTGTTTTATGTGGTAGAAACAACATATTACTTAATTTGTTAATGTTTACTAGAACTTTTATATAACATGGTAATAAAGTATTTTTTAAAAATACTACAAATTCACTAATTTTCATGGAGTTTAGTTTTCGTTCTTTTTAAGGTGTGAAGAGACCTACAACTTTATATACACCACGAAATGCAAAAGTTCACATATATTACTAAAAAACAATTATTCTACCACCAAAGCAAATCCCATTGAACCAATATATTTTCCTCAACCCACGAAAATTTAACCCATGGAAAATTTTTGATTTTGCGGTATATGGGTATAACGAACATTATTTCCTTTGTAGCTTGTAACACGAGCTTTGGTAACAGAAAAGGTTGTAAATTTCCGTGCACCCCCACTTGAGTCTGGGGTAAATAAAACGTCAATTCTCAGTGCATAGTTTTTTTATATAATAAAAAGCAAATGACCTGACACAATTCAATGTAGTACGTAGTTATCTTATCAACAGATTGAGACACAGTTGATTAGACTGTTATGTTTACAAAGAATTTATATGGGTATATAAGAAATAAATTCGTTATGCAGGACCAATCAAGGGTGTACGGGGATTAAGCCCGGGTTGTATTCCATACTTACTAATAATATTCAAGCTCAAAAGTCCAATAAACAATATTAGGTAGGAGCAGAGCAAACGCGGAGCTCTTAAACATCACAGGTGGGTTCAGGTGCAAAACAGTTTTCAAACTTGTTTACACCTTTTTTACTTTATATAAATGGATACGAAGACGCAGAAGAACAGTGTCTTGAAACCAGAAGTCCTTCAACCCCTGAAGAATTATTACTTCTTATTTTGTAATAAAGTTATTTTACTCCACCCAAAAACGTGATATATTTAGGAAAATGATGGTATTGTTGAGCCTCTTAATCAATGAGATTCATTGCGTATTCCATTAAGCTAATTCCATCAAGCAACATAAATCAGAGCAAAATCGAGAACAATTCAAGGCGCCATTGAACAAAAAATTCAATATAGGTTATCAGACCAGTCCGGTTTAAAGACCACTCAATTGAGATGAATGAATTTCCTTTAAAAAAAAAACACGACCTAGTTTGACTAATTGAGATTGATTCTTTAATCGTTTCAATTTTTGCTTTTTTTTTCTTTGCCCCTGAGTAATATATTCTGTAAATAGCTAAATGAATGTTTTTTATTGGCTTTATGCATGTATGGCCTCGAGTCAGTAACGTACATTAATCATAAAGTTTGATATTTGAATGTATGGTATCATGAGGAATTGTTGAATATCATGAGGAATTGTTGAATATACAAGTCGTATTCATTCTTTAGTTACATGCTGCAGTCTAACTTATCTTATTAATTATAGATACAGGGAGCATGATCCCTTTACACAACTTTCTGCTTAGTGTACTACTGTAGCGGGAGCAGCAAGTAACACAAGATGCTTATTCACTGTGATGATGTTTATTACAGTAGCATATCATATAGAAGATTCTACAAAACAATATAAAGTACATTTACTAAATTTGAAATCACATATATCAGCAGAATCTTTTGTCATAATAAAATCAGATAATTACTATATATTTAATTAGGTAATAAAATAATGAATATTGACACATATCAATGAGTTATACCTTTTGACTTTATATATACAAATGATATTACTCTTATTCACTTCATAATTGTGGATATAATGACTGTTTACAATAAATTAATATACTTGCTTTATGTACATATAGCAACATACCAGACTATGGGTATGAATCCCTCTCTAATACATGATTGTGTGTATGGCATATGGATTATCAGTATCTACAATTTATAAATAACATCCATACACTATATATTATATTCTTTGTGTCATAAAATACATCTATTACAAAGTTTAAAATCAACTAGTTCATCAGCTTTTGACAAACGTAAATAATTTAATAAATTCTCTCATATGCCTCTTTCATTCAGTTATTAATAGGAAAGTATTAATATGAAATAGAAGTGTCAAAAAGTCAACTTACTGTCAGTGGTCTTAAAGAATTCTCCAATATAACAAAAACACAACTAAACACTTTGGCTGCTCCTAGGCTATTAATTAGCTGGACACACTGGACAAAGGGGGTCAGAGGTTTTGGCGGGAAATATTGACCAATGGCTATTTTTTAATTATGTATTTATTCAATGTTAAAAGTTAAATTTTAAGTTTAGGGCTCTAGAGATTTCTAGACTTTAATTATAGTTGTTACAAATTTATTCACATGTTTAATGTTTAAATAAAACATATTTATTTTAAATCAAGTTTATTATTGAAAGTTATTTTATAACTTTCAATGGCATCTGAAAGAAAAATACAATAAATTAAAATCACTATAAAGTCAATACTATCACACACTTCCCCTCTTTTGAAATGACGTCCTCGTCATCTCATCTCTGTAGAAGTGCGAACGAATAATCTGAAAATTAAAAATACAATCAAAGTGAATTATCAGTCATAAAAAATCATTTCTGCAACAGGATTTCAAGGAATGCGAGGGATAGCTGCTTCTGATCTACACCAGAGAGATAGTTATCTGAAACAAGAGATTTTAAATAATTACATTTTAATATCCAATCTGGATCTTTAGCTGGTTGTACGGACATAGAGTATTCTCCTGTCTTCATCCAAGCAGGTTTGGTCTTCGTTCTTACAGGTCTTGTTGATTTTTCATGTTCTTATGTTCTTCATGTTCTTTGTAGATTCACTCAGCATCCAAAGGCTAAATGTCCTGATTGTCCACACCTTCTGCATATAGGCTCATTATGATAACATGATTGTCTATCCTTTCCTCTCATACCCATTCTGTTTGGATAAGATGATCTGACTCTTGGTCTACCTCTGCTGAACCAAGTTGATGGTGGTTGGTCAGTCCTTCTTTGATAGAATTGATGGGTATCCTCTTGTGGAATTTTCTTACTCTCTAATGCGTCGACCTTTGTAGATAATTTTCTAATCATCGCTTTCAATTCTGATATTTCACTGGAAGATGTTAAATCTTATCATTTTGCTGCAATATTCATGTATAGTTTCTTCGTATCTGTAGGGTGTTCTTTCTCAATAAGTCTGATCTCTTTTCTGAGTTCATCAAATGTTTCACATTTATCATACAGATAACCCGATATGTCTTTGAAGTCTTGTCGTAATCCTGACCAGAATTTGGTTTTCAACATGTCATCAACATCTTGATGGTGAACTTTTCCTTTGTCGACTGCTCTACTCAAAAGTTCCTCAAGACGACATCCCCATGACGTGGTGTGGTCATCTGGTTTCCGCGTCGCACTGTAAAATTGAGTCAACAATGATTCACCTTTCTCCATAGTTCCATATATCCTCTCCATTTCTGTAAGACTTGGCTTAGAGGTGCATCTGGACCCAATCTCATAGGAAATTGACTCGCTTGACCTCTTAATGACCTTCTAATAGCTTGAAGGACCGCACTCTCAGGGTATCCTTCGCGTGAAAGACATTCAACCTCATACTTCCACACTTCGTATGGCACATCACTCTATCTGCTTGGATCTCCGGAGAATGTCGATAACTTTGGAATGTGAGTCATTGTTGATGATTGAAGTGATGCTGGTTTAAGGTCCTTATAACTCGTTGGAGTGATAGGTGCCGTAAATGTTGGTAAATAGAAAGGAGATGGACTGGGTATCTCTTTCTTCACAGTCTTATGCTGTTCAACATTATTAAAAGCTTCATTTGTAAAGACTTTGTACTCATGATCTTGTAGGTACTTAATGACTTTCTCTTTTTCTGCTGTTGACAACTCACCAGCTGTTGTCTGTGGAATATTTTCTTCAACATTTTCTTGAATATCTTCTTCAACATTTTCTTGAAATTCAAGAATTTCATCACCTGTCTTTTTGTCAGACATTGTAAAAATTCAATATGTTTCACACAAATGATTTTATGCAAGCAAATGATAATGTTGTGTAAACAACAGTGGCTGCAAAAAAAAATAATTCAAGCAAGCAAGCTCAAGCATGCTGCGCAATAAATGCAATGCATAAATTCTATATAGCGCAAGCTGCTGCAAAGCAATGCAAAAAAAAAAAAATAAATAAAACAAATGTTTGAAAAGTATAAAGAAACCGCTCGATTAAGTATGACGGAAAACGCACGAAAATAATTCAAAGAAAACGCACGATGTAATTCCTGAAAATAAAATTTCTCTATTTAACTAAACTTTATATAATCTTATATAATCTTTTGTCATAATAAAATCAGATAATAATAATAATAATAATAATTAATAGGAAAGTATTAATATGAAATAGAAGTGTCAAAAAGTCAACTTACTGTCAGTGGTTTTAAAGAATTCTCCAATATAACATATCTCCACAATGAAAAGAAATCTCTAGATAAGTGTTGGGCAAAAAATCTTTAAAATCACAAGACTTTTCATTTGATATCAAGAAAAAGGGGCTGACCCCTCAAATTAGGGGCTCAGAGGGGCCAAAAGTCTTTCATCTATAACTCTATAATCATCAATTTTCCTCCATACATTACTGAAGCAAAGGTATTTATCTTAACGATTTGCAACAATATATGATACAATTTGGATCATATGTTACGTAATTAAGGGTCACAAGGGGCCAGAATATCACATCTTTGACGCTTTATATCTCAAAAAGGGGGAATATTTTGATAAGCAATATTGAACAAAAGATGGTCAGAATAATGTTCAAAACAATATGCATACTTTCCATTTTTGAAAAATGGACCTATTAAGGACTTTTAGGGGTGGTCCCTTAATATTCCCATTTAGCATATCTCAACAACAAATAGAAATCTCTGAATAAGTGTTGAACAAAATATCTTCAAAATCACAAGACCTTTTATTTGATATCAAGAAAAAGGGGCTGACCCCTCAAATTAGGGGCTCAGAGGGGCCAGAATTCTTTTATCTATAATTCTCTAGTGATCAATATTTTGTGATACAACAAATCTTCAAAATCCTAATACCTTTCATTTGATATCAAGAAAAAGGGGCTGACTCCTTAAATTAAGTGTTTAAAGGGGCTAAATATCTTGCATCTGTACCACTTCAATGATCAATATTTTGTAATACATTACAGAAGCAAAGATATTCATCTTTACGATTTGCAACAACATATTATAAAATTTGGTCATATCTTACGTAATAAGGGGTCGATTTTTTATGCTTTACATCTCGAAAAGTGGGAGTATTTTTATAAGCCATATTGAACAAAAGATGTTCGGAAAATCTTGAAATAAAATCAGAAACTTTCAAATTAATGAAGGAATACTTAATGTCATTCTCTTTTAACGAATATCTCAGTCAAAATCAAATCTCATCTTATCGAGAAATACAACGGAAGACCTACTCGTTGCTCGCAACGAGATCTCATCTAGTTATTATTGTTTTTTTTTCTTACCGATTTTGTACGCGCGATTTCTCGAGAACGGCTCGATCGATTTTCATGAAACTTTCAGGTCTGATAGAACATCAAAAAATCTAGATATATATTTTTTTTATTTTGATGACTTCACTTCCGGTTCGGAGTTTCCTGCGATTTAGTGATTTTTAGAGGGTCACTTTGTCCAGCAGTTTTCTCAAAAAGCACTTATCACAGAAGCTTGAAATTTTCAGTGATGCTAGAGCATTTTTGGAGAAGTGCACTAAGTATATCACAACTACCGGAAGTACGAAGCGCCGACGCTCGCTATGGCCCGAAAATAGTCCTATCAAGAATTTCAAAATTTTAAGCACCTTTTCAACGATAACTTTTTACCTAGAAATATTTTGTTAAACCATTATGAACAAAAATGGTGTAGAATTTAAAGATCTTTCAAATGACATCTCGAAAAAAAGGGCTGGCCCCTTAATTCAGGGGCCTGGAGGGGCCGAAAGTTTTTCCTTTATATCTCAAAAAGTATTGAGAATTTGTGATACGTCAAAGAATCAAAGTTGTTCAAAATGTCAAGCTTAATCTATTGAAATCGTCAAAATACGTCCGGCGTCGTCACTTCCGGCCAAACCGGAAGTAGTCGGAAAACGCGTATTTTTGCCGTTCTTGACAAGTTTTTTGGTAACACATATTTCTGGGAGCGTTAAAATTAATTTTTCCGTCGTCGTCACTTCCGGTAAAACCGGAAGTAACAGAAAATGGCTTATTTTTGCAATAATTAACATGGATTTAGAGGAATCAAACCATTTTTGGACGTTATTTCTCCTTTCTGTTAAAAATGAAACCACTTCCGGTCAAACATGACGGAAGACCTACTCGTTGCTTTGCAACGAGCTTTGCTCTAGTTATTATTATTATTATTAAGGTCTTCCGTCTTCAGCGGAAGACCTTATTGTTATTCTTAGGTTTCTTTTCCACTTTTATTATTCTTTTTTTTCTTACCGATATTATGCACGCGATTTCTCAAAAACGGCTCGATGGATTTCCATGAAACTTTCAGGACTTATGTTACATTACTTGAACCTTATGCATTTTTTTCCGATTTGATGACGTCACTTCTGGTTTGGAGATATTGCTGATTTTATGATTTTTGAAAGGTCAGTTTGTCCGCAGACTTTCTCAATAATGGCTCAAGATAGAAACTTGAAACTTTCAGGTAAGATAGACCAAAGTCTATAGATATGTACAACAAATTTCATTTTTATCGGAAGTGCCGCACATCGGCGCTCGCTATGGCCCAAAAATAGTCCTATCACATTTTTCAAAATTTTTATCACCTTTTCATCTCTAACTTTTTACCTAGAAATATTTTGTGAAAACACATAGAACAAAAGAAGTGTAGAATTTCAAGATCTTTCAAATGATATCTCGAAAAAAGGGCTGGCCCCTAAAATAAGGGACCTAGAGGGGCCGAACGTTTTTCCTTTATATCTCAAAAAGTATTGAGAACTTGTAATACGTCAAAGAAGCAAAGTTGTTCAAAATGTCAAGCTTAATCTATTGGAGTCGTCAAAATACGTCCGGCGTCGTCACTTCCGGCCAAACAGGAAGTAGTGGAAAATCATGTTTTTTTGCCGTTCTTAACAATTTTTTGGGTTATATATGTCTCTGAGAGCATGAAAGGTAATTTTTCCGTCCGTCGTTGTATCTTCCGGTCAAACCGGAAGTCGCAAAAAATGGCTCATTTTGAAGTTTTTGATGCAAAATTGAAATTATAAAGTCACTGGAGACTACTTAGCTCAATGCTTTCCTTTGTTCCGTCACTTCCGGCATTTCCGGTAAAAACCGGACGGAAGACCTACTCGTTGCTTTGCAACGAGCTTTGCTCTAGTTATTATTCTTTTTTTTCTTATTTGTTCTCCGGTACTTTTTTGTCCGGAAGTGTTCTCAGAAACTGTTCACCCAACTGACCTAAAACCTTTTTAGGGTTAATGGGTGTGTACTGTAGGTGTGCGGAACGAAGGTCATTTTGCGCGCATACGCCTGCACGTGCGTTCGCGTGCAACACGTGAAATGACTTATTTACTTAATATAGCTATAATTTTTACATTTTTTAATGAAATGATTTGAAACTCATTATATAAAGATATATTAATAGTGTAGATAATGTGACACTGTCAAATTAGCACGATCTCACGCGCATGCAAACAAAGAAAAAATTTCATGAAATCACGTGCATGCACGTGTACTGCAATCTGATTGGCTGACATTTTAATGACTATATCGCCTTTGTTTTTTGACGAAATGCTTTGAAATTTAAAACATAATCATACATTAGGATGTCCTGCAATATGATACACAAAAAATTTCAAGAAATTACGCGCATGCACGTGTGCTGCGATCTGATTGGCTGAAACTTTAAATGACTATATATCTCCTTTGTTTTTTTACGAAATGCTTTGAAATTTAAAACATAGTCATTCATTGGGATATCCTACAATGCGATATAGAAAAAAATCATGAAATCATGCGCATGCACGTGTGCTGCAATCTGATTGGCTGAAACTTGAAATGGCTATAAC